GAGCAGCAGCAAGCTGCTGCAGCAGCAGTTTGTCTATAGGTTTAGAGAAACGAGCATCAGCAACTGTAACCCCAATCAAAGGGTCTGCTGCTGCTGCTGCTGCTGCTGCTGCTGCTGCTGCTGCTGCTGCTGCTGGGTTGCGTGCTGCTGCTGCTGCTGCTGCTGGTGATGGTGCTGCAGCGGGAAAGCCACGACCGCTGGTTGCTGCTGCAGCAGCAGCTGCTGCTGCTTCTGCTGCTGCTTCTGCTGCTGCTGCTGCTGCTTCTGCTGCTGCTGCTGCTGCTGCTGCGTTGTCTGGATGGGGTATTTCTTTGATTTGCTGCAGTGCTGCTGCTGCAGCAACAGCATCGATAAGGAGAGTACCAATAGAGAGAAAAGCGACCTGCGTATACACCCCAATCCGAGGGTTTAGGGTTTAGGGTTTAGGGTTTAGGGTTTAGGGTTTATACACATACAAATACATACACACAATACACCACAAACCAGAAACTCTAAACCCTAAACCCTAAACCCTAAAAACTATATTAATGATATAAACCCGAGGGTTTAGGGTTTAGGGTTTTGGCTCTATCAACGCGGGTTTAGGGATATAGCACCCAGGAGTTTCACAATCTACAAACAACCAATTAGGGTTTAGGGTTTAGGGTTTAGGGTTTAGGGTTTAGGGTTTAACCTTGTATTTGGCTCTAGGGTTTGCGCGAAAGAGAACCCTCCCCTTCCCTACAGGCAGCGGCTCAGCATCGAAGGAAAGCTCCTTTATATTATGTCTGCACACAAACCCTAAACCCTAAACCCTAAACCCTAAACCCTAAACCCTAGACTGTAAACCCTTACCCCGAAACCTGGGCTCGCTGCTCCGCCCAAACCCTAGATGAAGCTCAAACCCTAAACCCTAGATAAGGATGTCACAGGAGTTTAGGGTTTAACGCGAGGACAGTAGGGCCTAGGGTTTAGGGTTTAGGGTTTAGGGTTTAGGGTTTACCCCAGCTTGCTGTTGAGGGTTTGAAGGCCAAAGCAAGAGCTACGAGGAAAACGAAGCGCAGAGGGACCCGAGTCCATCAGGTACGCTGTCTGCACGCCCAAACCCTAAACCCTAAACCCTAAACCCTAAACCCTAAACCCTACCCCCTACCCCCTACCCCCTAAACCCTAAACCCTAAACCCTGACCTTCTTTTCTTCTGCAACCACCACCCCCAAACCCCTCCCTCTATCCTCCTCCCCCCCCTCCTCCCCCCCAACCCCCAACCCCTAAACCCTAAACCCTAAACCCTAAACCCTAAACCCTACTTTTAGCATGCGTAGGAGTTCGTGTTCATCGCTGGGGGCCATAACAGTAAAGTTAGGGATGTTGCTGAGGTAAGATAAATCAAAGGCCCCCTGGTGGGTGCTGCCGTCGGCC